TAGTCTCTGGTAGCATAGCGGTTACGAATCAAGCTGCTGCGAACCTTAAGGTCAGTGGTTTGAAACTACCAGCCGCTCCGCGGGAGAAAGATGAGGTTTTCTACTCCCGTAAGGATTTACACCCTCGGAAACCCTGTACAGGGTCGCTATGGGTCGTCTCCTACTCGAAGGCACTTAACAACAACAACAATAACAGTTTGTATACATCTTTAATGATAATGACTCATTAAGTGGAGTTCTGGTGTGGCGTTGTAGAATAAGCACTAACTAGACTGCTAATTCTAAGGTGGGCAGTTCAAACCCACCAATCACTTGTCAGAAACCATATACTAGGTTGTTAGGAGTCAGAACAGACTCAACGGATCTAACAACAACTCAATAAGCACCTACTGAGTGTATGAATTACCTCCCATCCAAGTCCAGCAACAAAGTCTTCATATGCTTGGCTCCCTCTTTCATTGGACAGGATCGAGCATTTGTCTTCTTGACCTTCTGCAATGTAAAACACTGCAATTTTGTGTGTTTCACGGCTGTAAAGTTTTAAATTAACAGGAGTTAGAATTCTTATATATGAAATTTTAGTTTACTACTACCACCAACATATCTCCTACAGAGCTAATATTCACTGAGCTCTGACTAGGGATCAGTCACTGTCCTAAGAAGGCTTTAGACATAATCTCATTTATTTTTTACAACCACCCAAATGAGATAAATTTATTATCATCACTCTCTTTGTGTGGTAACTTAAAGGAAGCACAAAAAGATAAACAAAAACACACATAACAAGCAGGAGACTAGGAATTAAAGCAAGACAGTCTGATTCCAAAGACAGCACTCTCAACCATACAATCTACTCAAGATCATATAATAAAATAACATTTGGCAAGTTATTCTGAATTTTTAAAACAAAACAAAAACTTCGATAAACATTTCAAATTGATTTGCTGTTGTTAGATGACATCGAGTCAGTACTGGCTCATAGTGACCCTATGCACAACAGAACAAAACACTGTCTGGTCCTGGGCCAACCTCACAATCGCTGTCACACTTGAGCCCATTAATAGTGGTATTAACTGGTCTTCCCTGTAGGTGCTTGGATATTATCCTATCAGACAGCACTGTACCTCATGACTGATCAGGATATGTTCTTTTTGACAATGAATGCAACACTATTCCTCTTCAATTTGTCATTCTCAGCATAGTAAACCATGTGGCTGTCAGATTCAAAATGGCCAATACCAGTCCATTCCAGCTCACTAATGCCTAAAATAGTGATGTTTCCAATATATGAAACAGATCTATGTGGCTGTCAGCATTTCAGTTCCTACACTTTGAGATACGAAGATTGAGAAGTTCCCTGATTGGAATGGTAATATATGGCAAGATTTCATAAGAAACAGAAACTTCTTCCAAGAAGGATGTATTTAGGTATTTTCTTTGTAAGGAGAGGCATTGACTGTGCTGTATTCTGAGAGTGCTTGGTTAGAGGGATGGATGCTCATGGAAATCTGTTTCGTGCTGTTTTTTTGCCCACCCGAGCCCTTCATCCACTTCCTCCAAAGATATTTTACTGGTAAATAAAGTAAACATGACATACACTTTGAGGAATGATACATGTCCTTTTTGTTCTTTATCTAGTATTTCTCATGCTGTTGTTGTGAGGTGCTGTCAAGTCAACTCTGACTTACAGCACGCAAGGTCAGTTGGTATTACAATGCGACGGTTCAAACACACCTGCCGCTCCTTGGAAACCCTATACAACAGGGTCACTATGCATTGAAACTGAATCGAAGGCACTTAACAACAATATGCACAATGAAACGAAACACTGCCCAGCCCTGCGCCATCACAAATAGTTACGCTTGAGACCACTGCCAATGGGTCTCAGTTGGGCCAATCTGTCTCTGTGAGGACCTTCCTCTTTTTGCCTGACTCTCCACTTTACCAAGCATGATGTCTTTCACCAATGACTTGTCCCTACCGATAAAATGTCCAAAGTATGAGAGATGAAGTCTTCCCATCTTGGCTTTTAAGGAGCATTCTGGCTATACTTTCAACACAGATTTATTTGTTCTCTGGCAGTCCATGATACTTTTAATATTCTTCTCCAACACCGTAACTTGAGTCCATCAGTTTCTCTATGGTTTTCCTTATTCATTATCCGACTTTCACTTGCATATGAGGTTATTTCACATATAAGAGGATAAATGGGCAGTTAAATATCAAGAAAATATATTTCAATGTACTCATAACCAGTTTCTGAAATTTATATCCTATAGTGCAAAATGAATGGGCCTATAAGCAATAATCTGCTGATAGTTTAGAGATGAAAACTGTTCTTATTCTAATAGTTTTTAATAATCACTCACTTCACAATTTCTTTACTCAAGAGATTTACTCTATGTACTTAATATGAATTACTACTTTCAGGACAATTCTACTCTTCTTATTTTTGCATGACATTCTGAAAAATCTCATAGAAAGAACTCTCCTTCAAATCTTCAAGCAATATGAAAATGTTTCTCTTATTTAATATCTCAACATGATAATCTGATTCGGTATCCAATTTGGTAGAAACTGAGGTCCAGAATATAACAAATTCTCAAGTATTTCCTTCTACATGAGTTATCTTTCTACTTAATGTTGTTGTTGTGAAGTATCGTTGAGTTGGTTCTGACCAAAAACAACCTGGTAGGGTTTCCGAGTTGCAGCTAGTGGGTTTGAACGGAAGACCTTGAAGTTAGGAGTCCAGTGCTTATCCTACAATACCACACTAGGACTCCTAATGATTCTATATAATATTATTGTTAAGTGCCATTGAGTCGGTTCCAACTCATAGCGACCCTGTATAGGGTTTTCATGGAGCAGCTGGTGAGTTCGGAATGGCACCTTGTGATTCAAACCAACCTTGTGGTCCTGTCCTTTTATCACACAGTGCCACATTAGGACTCCATTCTATTTAATAGGCAGAACTAATTGAAACTCAACTAAAATGTTAAGTAATTGGGAGAAAACGTTCTCTTTCTTTCTATTCATTTAAATAGTTTATTCACTTTTCTCTCATGGTTTATATCTAATATACTTGCTTATTGGAAAAGTTAGATCCAGTTTCAAATAAACGCACTGCCACTGAGTTGGTTCTGACTCACTGTGACCCTAGAGGGCTGAGTAGAACCGCCCCATGAGGTTTTCAAGGCTATAAAATCTAAACAGAAGGAGACTGCTACAGCTTTCTCTCAGGGAGTGGCTTTGGTTTGAACTGCTGATCTATGGGTTTGCAGTTTAAACCACTGCACCAGGAGGGCTTCTCCATAGAAAAGGAAAAGAACAACTAAAAAATCACTGACAATTTTGTCATCTAAGTAAATAATATAAATGTTATCATTTGAGAGTGGTTTTTTTTTTTCCTTTATAGAAAATAATTCACCTTTATTTTGAGGACTGTTAAGTTTTCTTTCTGTCTAGCTCTCTCTTAACTTTTTATTATGAATTGAGTGAAAGTTGACAGACGAGATAATCAAGCTTATCTTTAACAAATTAAATACTTTGTTTCATCTCAACGATTGCAATCTCCTCCATGCACCAACAGTTATCCCACTTCCTCCTAGGGGTTTCTATTTCCAGTCTACCCACCTTCCCATCCAGTCTCAACTTTTTCCTTAGATACATATTGTCTTTTTTATTTTGAATGACTAACCATTCCATGGTGAGAAAATCTTACTAGTATTGCTAACCCTCTGCATACCTATCTACTGCTTGGCTGCAAATTGTGCCATGATGGTGAGTTCCTTCCCAGACCTAAACGGTGGTGGATGGTCATAGTCTCAGGTTCCTCCAGACTCTTTCTGATCTACAAACATGGTCTTTATTTAAATTAATGAGTTTGAGTTTTGTTCCACATTGTCTCTCACTCTATCTGGGACCTTCAATGTACACAGTAGTTGGTAGTGATAGCTGGGCACCATCTTGTTTTTCTGGTCTCAAAGTCATGGAGACTTACGTTCAGATGCTGCATTAGTCCACTGAACTAATTGATTCCAAGCATCTTTAATTCTCATCACTCTTCTTTCTTCCACACATGAAGAGACCAATAGCAGCACCTCAGATGGCTATTCGTGAATTATTAAGATCCTAGATGCTATTTATCAAAGTAGGATGTAAAATATTATTTATGTGGACTATGTTATGCCAGTTGATTAAGGTGTCCCCAGAGACTATGGTCCTGAGCCGCCAGGCCCAGCAATTCATTGCCTTAAGATGTTTGATAATAATTTTTCATCATTTTGCCCACTGCATATTCTACCACATTCAATGTTGTGTTTGCAGAAAGGAAAATATCTATGTCATTTTAGGGTGCATTTTTGCACACAACTATCAGAAGCTATTTCATACTGTGTTTTGTAGTTGTTTTTTTTCACTTAAAATAATTCTGAGCTTTTTTGTACTATGTGCTTCTACAACAGTTATTAATAGTTGTAAAAAAATCCAATATATTAAGTATCATATTCTTTCTTCTATTTTTTGAAGTCTTAGCATTTCATTTTGTCCTATTGTACAGACCACATAAAATGAACACAAACTCAGGCTATCTGTAATGCTTTTGTTTGTACTTTTTCAAGTTTAAACTCTTTACAGCTGCTCATGGGTCATTGAGATCTCATTAACTCACAAGTATTAATCTGAATGACTAATTGATGTAGCGGGAAAAGACATGTGACCTTCAGCTGTAAATGTTCGTCAAATTTCATATCCTCCAAAATGTTAGCACCAGGAGAGCCTACTACAATGCAGACTGTATCTGGTCTTGTTAGCGTCAGGCTTCTGAAATAATAATTAGCAAAATAATAGCACTTCATATCCACAGGCTGTACAGCCAATGCTTGAGCACACATATAACCAATGCCAGGAACACACATACATAAAACCAATGATTTCCTCCTCCTCATGAGAATGCATCTTTCTTCATTATTAGGACTAGACTAGAATAGGTCTGTTTCTTTGTACTGTCACATTACCGAAGTCAAAGAAAGACAAATATGATGTTAACATTCACCCTCCCATATGGCAGCAACATGGAACTGATATTTAAAAGGGAATCCCACTGTTATTTACATATATATTCATCATATAGATTATAGCTTTATTAACTGTATATTATATAAGCAATGGTTATAAAATAAGTTATACTTTTTCTGAGAACATCCTAAGAATGAACTATACCTCAAGAGCAGTCAGATAAGTTATATTATAAATATAAATGGCAAGGAAAAGTTTAGGGATAAGTTGTATTCTTCCCTGCTAAATATGCATGCAAAAGCTGGACAGTGAATAAGGAAAACCACAGAAGAATTGATGCTTTTGAGTTATGTTGTTAGAGGAGAATATTGAAAGTGCCATGGGCTGCCAAAAGAACCAAGAGATCTGTGTTGGGAGAAGTGCAGCCAGAGTGCTCCTCGGAGACCAGGATGGCCAAACTTCATCTCTCATACTTTGGACATATTGTCAGGAAGGACCAGTCACTGGAGAAGGA